ATAGTGCAATGTTGTGCTGTAAAGCACCACAGAGAATAAATACCTGTAATGAAACCATGTTTATTTGTCCAGTGAGAGAAAACGAGATATTAGAAGTTGTGAAGAAATTTAGGGGGAAATTTTCAGCAGGTACCAATGAAATACCGGATTATGTGGTTAAAAAATGTATAGAAGCGGTTAAAATGCCATTAGCCCACATTTATAATGCCTCTCTAGAAGCAGGTATTTTCCCAGAGAGATTTAAGATAGCAAAGGTAAAACCACTCCATAAAAAGGGAGACAAGAAGGATATGAAAAATTATAGACCAATATCCCTTTTGTGTGCTATCTCAAAAATCTTGGAAAAGTTGATGCAGAATAGGTTACTCTCCTTTTTGACAAGAAATACCATATTAACAGAGGCCCAACATGGATTTAGGATCAATAGGTTGACTGAGACTGCAGTTTACTCTTTACTAGCAAATATACAGGAACCAGCTGAGAATAAAGAAAAACAGGTCAGAATTTTTTGTGATTTAACTAAAGCGTATGATGCCATAAATCATGACTTCTTACTTTCTAAATTGCAAACATATGGAGTAAGAGGTGTGGCAAACTTATGGTTTAAATCCTATTTGGCATACCGGAAGCAAGTTGTTGAAATAAGTTGTGATGGCAAAATTATTTATCGGCTCCAAGAGAAATTAAATATGGAGTACCACAAGGTTCAGTGCTTGGGCCATTATTATTTTTATTATACAGAAATGATCCGCCTTTGAATATCAAAGAGGCGAGGATAGTTTTGTTTGCAGATGATATAAATATTTTGGTAACAGCTGAAAAGGAACATATCCTGCAGCAAAAGATAAATAAAGTCATGAACGAGTTATATGGATGGTTCAATGCAAATAATCTTATATTGAATGCTGAGAAAACAATAGCAATGACATTTCATAATAGACAAGAAAGAGATTTGATAAAACCTCAAATCAAATTTGGCAAAATGGAGATCTCCTAGAAATGTGAAACGAAATTTCTGTGTTTACATGTTTGTGAACATATGGAGTGGAAATCACATATGATGTTCTTAAGCTCAAAACTTCATAAAGTCTGTTACATGATAAAATCCCTTAGGGATGTAACAAGCCAACAGGTTATTAGGAGTATTTACTTTGCTCACTTCCATGCTTATTTGAAGTATGGTTTAATTTTCTGGGGTAGCGACCCAAAAAGTAAAATTATATTTAAATTGCAGAAACGAATTGTTAGAATAATTAGTGGTGTGAGTAGATTAGCATCATGTAGACAACTCTTTAAGGATTTAAACCTACTTCCACTACCTTGTGTGTAATATATTTGGAATAGTATGCCATGTTAAACTACATTTAGAAAAGTTAGAACAAAATAATGTAGTTCATAATCACAATACACGCCAGAAGTTAAATCTCCATGCTCAGTTTTGCAGACCAATAATTGCAAAAATAATATATACCATTACAGAATAAGATATATGGCTGCTGATGTGTTTGTTTTTCCATTCTTGTTCTTGTATTTCCTTTTCTAGGTCGGAAACCTTGAAACTAGCATATTTCAAATCATTTAAGTGGGAAACAATTTGCTTGAACTTCATATCTAAATGTATGCTACTAAGGTTGACCCTCATATTGAGTTCCTCACAACAATCAAATCGGAGGGGGACTTGCGTGAGCAGGTCTCCTCCTTTCACAGATGAATTACTGGCTACAGTAAAACTGGTTTGCAGCAACGCCGAGGTGCTATACCCTTTGCACCCACTATTGATACTTAATTTTCCCACTCCTGTAAGCAACACGTCAGCAGGTTCCTTCCCGTCACATAGCACTGTTACACTGTCTATGGAAGGGGAGAAATATATCCATTCATTATTCATTAACTGTACCCATACAGTATTAGTTAATTTCGCTATTCTAGTTTCACAACTCCTTGGGATCCTCTCATTTGACTGCAGTAGCCTAATGTAACAAGACTCATGTACATGGCTAGACATTAAAGGATGTTTTTGTTTGCACACATATGAGTTGGAGTCCTTGGTTTTACATTGCCTTAGCTCGTCTTCGGTTAACATTAAGTAATATTGTCTTGCTTGATCAAGGCACAACATGGATTCAGCAGTATCAATATACAGAAACTTATTTAAGTCTAGCGCTACTGGTATTGGAGTCATTTTGAGTATCTTAAAATTTCCTCTGTTCACCAGTGGTAACTCTACCACGTAACCCAATATACCATCACTCAAATAGACATGTATATCACAAATTTTAAGCAGTAAGTTTATAGAGTCTTTGCTCAAGGGGAAGGGAGCCATAGTTTCCTTAGGAAAAGACGGGAAACTTCGTGTTAAGGCGTCCATCAGGAGGCTGGGGGGTACCACTTGCGGTTGCAGAATTCCCTTCCTCGCGTTGATAATGCTATCAATCACTACATCGAGGCTTCTTTGTAGAGTATTCAATGCCTCATTCACGCGTGCAATGTGGCTTTCTACCGTAATCTTATCAGCCAAAGCATCAGTAACTCGGGTGGTATTTGAAATCACTGATTCTACATACGCCTTAATTTGGGATAGTCCCCTCTTTACGACATCCTCATTGTACTCCATATCCGAGAGGGTTTCGTTTATGGCCCCTAGAGTGGATTTTACTACAGACAACTGTTGTTTCAACAGGTTCGTCATGCTATCAGAATTTTCTTCAAAGTGTCGTATCTGCTCATTGTAATATTTAGCATCATCATTATCCATAGTTCCGAAAAGAATCTTACTAATTTCACCAACGAAATTAAGTACTCCCCTTCTTATGCGTTTTCCACTGTATTTTGGATCAGTTACCTCTAGCAATAATTTTTCAGTCCCCTTGATCTGTCGAATTTTACGTTCTGCTATGTCATGGAAATAATTACACTCCGTCTGGTTCTTTACCGCGAGTTCGTGGCACAGTCTGCTTATGTGCTTAATATATTGTTCTATTCCTACCGACTGATTGACGGTTTGTTTAAGGTCCACATACACTATGGTCCTCCAGTTCGTGTTGTAGAAGTTTGCCTGGCCTATGTTTTCATAATAGATACCTGGCGATTCCTTGTACTTTTCCAAGGTATATCCTAAGTCGTCGATGTCTGACGCCACGCCCCTTGCTATAACCATCCATACCGTCCACGCTATCAGCGCTATCGTTTGGATTCCCATCTGCAAAAGAAAGTTGGTGCTGCTATTCTTTTGTTGCCACACATGGTATATATGTATATATAGATATAGATATATATATATTTTTTGAACTTTCTTATCTTCCTAGTTCCCTTATCTTCCTAGTAAAACGGCTTCACCCTATTTACATGCACTTTTTGCACTCTCTTTCCCCTCTTAATGGTAACATTGACCTTGTCTATAGCTACAACTTCGTAAGGTCCTATCCACTGGGAACTTAGTTTTTTCGATCTCCCCCGTCGCACTGTCTCGGCATACAGCAATACTCTGTCTCCTTCGTGGAGTTCTAATCTCTCAGTTTCCTTAATGTAATGTTCCTTGCTTCTGATTTTACTCCACAATAAGTTTTCCTTAGCAGCCTGATGAGCTGTTTGTAGTCTCTTTTTTAACTCTGCTACATAATCGTCGTAGTTGTACTGGGGACTTCGGCTGTCTGCCAGTGCTGAGAGTAAAGTGGACTTGCGACCGAAAATTAATTCAAAGGGTGTGTGACCCGTGGCTGAGTGCTCGGTCGTGTTATACGTAAACATGGCAAACGGTATCCACTCGTCCCAGTTCGATTGGTCTTCTTTCACATAGTGTCTTAGGTATTCTGCCAATACACGGTGACTCCTCTCGAGTCCGCCGTTCGATTCCGGATGGAATGCGGTCGACTGAATCTTTTTGATCTTAAGCATCTTGCACGTGCTCCTAAACACGTCACTGAGGAAGTTGGCGCCCTGGTCAGTTAACACCGTATTCGGAGTCCCATATTTGAGAACAACCTGCGTCACAAACTCCCTAGCTACCGTCTCCGCGTCCTGGTGGCGCATCGGTGCGGCGATCACGTACTTGCTTAAATCATCCTGAGAGGTTAAAATATATCTATTTCCTTTTTCAGTTTCTGGCAGTGGTCCTACTATGTCCAGGCTACTCCTGTCGAATGGATTATCCGCCGTAGTCGTTATCTCCATCGGAGCCCTTTTCCTGGGTTTTAGTAACTTGTTCACCTGACAACTTCGGCACTTCTTCACGTAGTCTTCGATTTCTCGTCTCATGTTAGCCCACGCATAACGCTCTTTGATCGCCTTGTAAGTCTTATTCATGCCCCTGTGCCCACCCAGGGGTGCGTCATGGAATTCATACAGAATTTGTTTCTTAGTGTCCTCGTCCAAATCGACCCTCTTGTCATCTTTCATCAAACTACCTATCCGACTGAGTGCGTCCGCGTTCGTGTTCAATGAACCCTTTTTGTAGAGTATCTCGAAATCATACTCCTCCAGTTTAATTCTCCACCGGAGTAACCTTGATCCTGGGTCCTTGACATTCATTACCCAAGTAAGTGGTTTATGGTCGGTTACTATTTTGAATCTGCGACCATACAAATAGGGTCTAAAGTATTTTACCGCCCAGACGATTGCAAGAAGCTCCTTCTCGCTGGTGGTATAATGCGTCTCAGCCTTGTTCAGGCTTCGGCTCGCATAGGCTATCGGCAAATCCTTTCCTATCTCCCCTTGTGATAACACGGCCCCTAGACCGTCGTTACTCGCATCCGTGGTGACGATAAATTCTTTCGAAAAATCAGGGTACTGGAGTATGGGCTGGGTTGTTAATTTGGATTTCAACCTGTGGAATGCATGCTCCTGTGCCTCCGTCCACTCAAACTTTGCATCCTTCTTCAATAACCGGTGTAAGGGTGACGCAATTCTACTAAAGTTTTGGATAAACTTCCGATAGTAACCTGCCATTCCGAGAAACGATTTCAATTGCTTCGCGGTGGTGGGGGTTTCAAAATTCTCTAAAGCGCGTATCTTGGCGGGGTCGGGTCTCACCCCATTTTCAGTGATTACGTGCCCAAGGTAGCTCACTTCTTTCCTCAAAAATNTTCACATTTCTCAGGTTGCAGCTCCAATTTGTATCGCCTCAACCATTCAAAAATTTCTCCTAATTTCATATCATGCTCTTCTAGTGATTTGGCATACACAACAATGTCGTCCAAAAATGCGAAACATCGCGTTCCAGTTAACCCACTAAGGACGGTATTCATCATCCGCTGGAATGTGGCTGGGGCTGTCTTTAACCCAAAAGGTAGCCTCCTATATGCCCAATGGCCATGTTTGGTGCTGAACGCTGTTTTCTCTATATCTTTCTCTTCTAACTCGATCTGATGGTACCCCATTACCATGTCCAAAGCATGAAAAGTATTTATTTTGTTGTAACTGATCTAAAATTTCTGTTATGTCCGGCAGCGGGTAGGCATCCCCCACTGTCTTCTCGTTCAACCTTCGAAAGTCCACGACCATTCGCCATCGTTTTTCACCACTCGCGCCCCCTTTTTTGGTTACCACTAGGATAGAGATGTTCCACGGGGAATCACTTTCTTCTATGATCCCTTCGTGTAGCAATTTCGTGACCTGTCTGTCTACCTCCTCTTTCTGGGTCTCCGGGAGTCTGTAGGGCCTCGTATTTAAGGGTGACGTCCCCGGTACCAAATTTATAGAATGTTTTACTGCGTTAGTGCAGCTTAACTGGTCTACTGGCACACAGAACACATCTTGATATTCTAAATATATTGTCACGTATTGGGCGTATATCGCGACAAATAAATTCACGCCGTCTTCTGATATAGCGAGCTTATTCCTTCGCTCGTCTTACACACACTTTACAGACATTTACACTTGCAGTGTTACAATCACTGCTCACAATATTCGGCGAGACACTGGACTCTCTTCTCCGAAGACTGATCCGAGACTAACTACTTCGGAGTCTGTTCCGAGACTTTCTTCTCCGAAGGCTTGATCACGGCTGGCTCCTTAGCTGGCTCTTCCGAGACTGACTGTTTCTCGCTGAAGCTGGGCTATTTATAACCTTGGCCGCTGTTAGGCAACGAACCCTCTGTTATAACCATGGAGACTCCTGTTAGAACTACAATGGAGCAATTGTTGTCTCCTCTGTAACGGTCTATTGTAGCGTTTCCATAGAAATTACTCCTCTGGTTTGCCGACACGTTACAATATCTTGGTGAGAGACTAAAGCTCCTCGGGATTGAGGTGCTCAGTCCTCAACTGTTCCAAGACATCCTCGTCTCTGCATTTCCCAATTTTTCTCTCTGTATCAGTTGGAGGTATTGCCACAACCTCCGGAATTTCCCTCAACTCAGCCACCGGTTCCTCAATCTCTACCTCATCATCCCTCCTATTTAGCATACTGGTTAACACGTATCCATCTACAACCTTGGTCAGGGATCGTGCCATATATACTCCATCTAAAACCTCCCTCTTTTCAAGTAGTCCTTCTGCGGTTGCGTTTCCTGCGGCGACCTGCAATTTCACTATTACCTCAGATCGTCTGGGTAGGGTTATTGTCCTGACAGCACGGTTCTGTTCTATCTGTTCACATTCTCCCTCCCTCCTGCTGAGTAATCTTTACCGAATTTCAAAACCTTCATGCCGAAACGTCAGAGTTCCGGTTTTGTAGCAAATCTTTGCTTGTGTCTGACGAAGGAAGTCCCTTCCTAGGATCCCGTCGCACACAATGTCCACCTGTTTACTAACCAGCTGGAACGTAAAGGGAACTTCTACACTTCCCTCTCTTATTCTGGTTTCTATCGTTCCATGGGTCTCGGTTACCGACCCATCTACACTCTTAATTTTTACCCTGTCTCTGGGTTCGAAGGCGACCGTTTCGATTAGTTTTTTACTTTTCATGATACTTACGTCAGCTCCACTATCAAGGAGTAGGTACAACCGGGTTTCGTTACTTACATCTAGGTTCAAACCCACATACTCGCAAAGATTCTTGTCGGTACAGCCTATTGAGTAGAGGGGACCGTTGGACGGCTGTTCTCCGTTGGCCACCTCCCGTTTCCCGACAGTTTCACAGGATTAGGGCTTTCCCTCTCTCTCGGCGGCCTTCTGCAATGTCTGGCAACCAGTCCCCTCTCTCCACAACGGAAGCAAGTAAAGGTTTTGGTATTATCTGCTGGCTTCCTTGCAATAACTGGGTTAGCTCTCATCTCCCTTCTTTCCTTGTTATAACATTTACTGCTCGTGTGTCCCATTTTCCCACACGAACTGCACCTGCTTGGGCCGGTTCCCTCATATTTAAACCTATCCTGCTTCGATACGGTGGCGCTTTCCTCCACGAGTGCTGTTTCTGCTATCTCGTCGAAGTCCCTATAATTCCTACTTCGGACTATAGTTTGGATCCGGTCCGAGTGCAAGCCTTGCAAGAAACAGATATCTCTTAATCTGTCGGATAAATCAAGTATCCCTTCCCGTGCCCCTTCTGTACTATTTAGCAGGGCGGCTTCACGAAACTGTGAACCCAGTGTTTGAATCCTTTGGATCCATTCCGACACCCTCTCGTCTTTGCCTTGTTTCGACCTGAAGAGTTGGCTAGCGTGGAAGTCGAGCGTTCTCTTTTCGACATACGAGTTTTTCAAAATTTTTTTTTAATTCCGTCCAATCCTCAAGAATTCAGTGTATTATAGACGTTCTTGGTTCCCCACTAATGCGGTTCAGGACGAACTTATACAGTGTGTCTGCCTGGTCAGGGTTTATTACGGAGAAAGCGGTATCCACATTCGCTATGAAGGCCACAACTTCGTTCTTATTTCCCTTGAAATGGGGTATCAATTTTAGCACCTCCCCTAAACTTATAAACTCCTCGGCCATGGTTCCTCGTCTACGGGTTTCTGCAATCGGGGTACTGGAGCTACTGGGCGTGACTGGCCTGGAGATTGAGCAAAAACTCACCGTTACGCGATCAGCCCACTGCACTGGTTCCTGTCCGCTTCGATGTCTCGTTCCGACAGCCCGTTCCAATGACTCGTCCTGATGACTCGTTCCGATGTCTCGTTCTGATGACTCGTTCTGAAGACTCGTCCTGATGACTCGTTCTGATGCCTCGTTCTGACGCCTCCGTCTGGTTATAGCTCTCTAGATCAGCGCCACTCTTGCAGCTTCACGGTTGCAGTTTCGCGACCTCAGTTTTAGCTTCTCTCCTGCAGCTTCACGCTCCCTCCGTGCACTCACTCGAATCAACCCCAAGACCGCACATCTGACACCAGAAAATTTATGTTGTATCCCG